CAAATTGATTATTAGAATTTTATGGCCAGAAAAATTGACAATGTAATAATTCAATTTTTATTTATATTCAAAGTACACTACAAATGGATATTCCAAAAAACTATCTAGATAATAAGCAATAGATCTTTACGTTTTGGGGTCCCAAGAACCCAATATCATATTTTGTAAAATGTCTGGATGTACGTATGTGTGTGTGGCGTTTTTTGTTAGCATTTGAGGCAGCCCAAACTATCCGACCGATTTCGATGGGATTTGGAATATACGGTGATTAGAGCTGATTAGATTTTGGGCACCTAGGGGGTACTTTATAGACTTTTTTTGTATACTTCTGTTATTTATAATTGAAGGAGAAATTTCTTCGAAAAAAGTTTTTGTGATGTGTCTTCGAATTTTAAAATGTCCTCTTCGTCAAGAGACAACAGAGCTCTTGGCTTATCAGAGAGTTACGATAGTGTGCTAGACGTTACTGAGCATGATCAAATTATTTACTAAATCCCACGCCATCAAAATTTACAAAATATATTGTTATACATATATTTAAAGTGACCATATTTTGAAAATTAGAAAGCGCGACAAATCGAAAACAAGGATATATTTCTACGAATTCTCTTTGCAGTAGTTACGGTTTGGTTCATTTAAGAGCAAAAAAATATATACAAAATAGTGGGATGTCACGTCACTATAAAAATTGAAATATTTATATTTTTTTTTTCGTTAGATAAAAGCGGGACACATGTTAAATCGGGACTAGTAGTTTAAAATCGGGACTGTCGCACCTAAATCGGGACAAATATTTTCGTTTATTGACAAAAAAAAGCCTATAGTATACCCCTCTATGCTCTATGGATGTTAGACGTTTGTCTTTAATGTGAACAAACAATAAAAAGGAGCTATTACTTTAAACTATCCACCTTATTTTAGTAAACTGTGTAGTGGGTTCAGTGCTATAAGTAATTTATAAATTAAAATATGTTTGCAAATTGTACAGTTTTGATCAGCATCCCTTGTATAACCTAACAAATATACAAATATTAGGATGTTTTACCTTATTAAAAGTAAAATAAAAAAAACATGATAGCATAAGACATGATAACAATAAAATTGTATTTTTTAATGACCAATATAAACATAATTTTTATATTATTTGTTATTTTGTCATAATTTATTTTCATTATTACCTACCAATAACTGTTTGATTATTCTATGTTATATCACTTTCGGTCTAAAATAACAGTTATGTTAAACCATGTTATATTAAAAGAAATTTCTAGACTTTATTATTTCATAAAATGCTATCTTCCACTTGCACATTTTTTATTCCTTGTAACTTATTTTATCAATAAGTGGAATTCTCGGTGGAATTACTAAAAATGTTTTTATGACCTTAATCATCCATTTTATAACAATTAATAAATATTGCTTACATTTTCAAAAAAAAAAAAAAATGTAGATTTGGGTTTCATTCAGAAAAGTACGTATCTGGCGGATCGGCCATATTGGGTTGACACCAAGTGATACCGTTTTGAATGTTTGAAAAAAATACTTATAGCGTCTCCCTATCTTATAACTCCATGCTCAACTCTCTCAATTTTCCCTAAAGCCACTGATACAGAAGTTTTCATTTTCATCCTTTAGTTTTCGGATTTTTAACCGACATTATCTCTCTTTTATTCATAAATTTAAAATTCTATAAAACATTGAATATAGAATTTTAAACTCTTTCAAATGAGCTCTTGTTCGACCTTTGTGGCCATTTAAAATTTTCAAGGTGGTAGCTAGCCTGCTCAAGGGGTTAAAATTAATGTGAGTTTATTTGCAGAAACGTGCTTCATTTGATATAAAAAACCGACTTGTCTGAGCATGTTCTCGAATATTTTACCTAATATAAGTTAGTGGGGGTGGAGGGAACACTCAACGTTCGAAATGTATAAAATGAAATACATTCAAATAAATTGTAAAATTGGAAATTAGCTTTAATTTTATAGTATTTATAGTGATTCGATACTCAAAATACCAAGTACCGCAACCATATAGGGATAATTCGGGAGGTTTGGGACGGCGGGTGGTTTGGGACAATCAATTTTGGAATTTAAATTTACCGTAGGCATAAAACTGGACTTATTCACTTGTTTCCTTCAGTTGATTGTAGATGCGTGACGAGGGCACATTGTTTACAAATTTTATGAGAGTGTTTGCATTTCCAGGTGCTAATAGTAAGTAGTAGCATAAGCAATAATTTTCAAATGTTTTCGAAACACTTGTAGATAACGCGATCTTAGGTTAAGTAGTTTAGAGTTATGAATATTGGCTATGTTTGTATTTGGTTTGACTACAATAGTGCCTCTGGTTTTCATAAAAATTAAAGGTGAATCAATTTGATATATACGGGGAGGACTGGGACATCGATCATTCTGGTGGTATGGGACGTGTCCCACTCCTCCCTGTAAATTGTTTTCGATTCAAATAAGCATTAAATTTTTTGTCAAGTGGCTATATGCTCGTATTGTCTTTTAAATAATCTTTCTAAATGGGAAAATCTTATTTACAGATTAATTATCTATGCAATGCCTCGAAAGTGACAGAAAAAATATCCAAACAGGGCCATTGCTAATGACTTTATACTGCAAGCAGTTAAAATGGTTTGTGACGATCAAAAGTCGATTAGACAAGTTGCTACTGCTCTTAACATCTCTAAATCAGCATTGGCAAGACATGTAAGCACATATAAGAAATCAGAAAATAAAAACCAAGTTGTATTTCAAAAAAATCTTACTTGTAGCCTTGTATTTTCATTAGAACAAGATGAGTTACTGAGCGAGTATTTGATTAAAGCTAGTAAAATGCACTATGGATTAAGTACAGTTCAAGTTAGGTCTCTGGCTTTCCAATATGCTGACGCTCTACATCTAAATTTTCCAGATTCGTGGAAAGAAAAAGGCGCTGGCAAGGATTGGTTTTACTGTTTTCGAGATAGGCATAAAGAGCTTTCGTTAAGAGCACCTGAGGCCACTAGCCTCTCTAGAGCCACGAGTTTCAATAAACATAATGTCGACTCCTTTTTAAACAATCTAAAAAAAATCTATGAGAAATGCAATATGTCCGCTGATCGTATATATAATTGTGATGAAACCGGCGTCACGACAGTCCACAAACCAACTAAAGTAATTGCCAAACGTGGACAAAAACAAGTTCGTCACGTGACATCAGCAGAACGAGGACAACTAGTCACAGTCTTATTCATAATAAATGCAGCAGGAAACGATATCCCTCCAGTATTTATTTTCCCAAGAGTCAAACAAAATGATGCTTTTGTAAAACAAGCCCCAAAAGGAAGCCTTGGTTTGAGTTACCCAAGTGGGTGGATGAACCAAAACAACTTCGCTCTTGCTTTCGATCATATAATTAAACATTCCCGTTGTTCAAAAAACGACCCTATATTCCTTCTATTTGACAATCACGAGTCCCATATTCAAATTGAAGTTATACGAAATGCTAAGGAAGTTGGAATTCACTTATTAACGTTTCCTCCACATTCCTCTGGATGTATCCATATACGGACCATTTAAAGCAAAATATAACGCAGCTTGCAACGACTGGATGATAAATCATCCAGGTAAACGATTACATTATATGATATAGCAGAGCTGGTAAATGTAGCTTATGAGGGTTCATTCAATAAGAAGAATACTATAGCGGGATTTAAAAAAAACTGGCATCTACCCATTTAACGGTGAGCCTTCTGCGGAAGAAGAATATTTAATGTTAACGGTAACAGACCGCCCTGAACCAGAATTAGATCAACATTTAGATGCATCCCAAGAAATGCCTTGTTCATCTACAGCTATCCTACAATCAATTTCTAATTCAACTCAATCAATACCGCACAATACTGAACCGGTAGCACATTCATCCACAGAAACACAACTAATTGTTCACAACAGCCCTCCCCCAGAAAATGTTATTCTGTCACCACAGGATATTAGACCATTTCCCAAAGCAGCCCCTAGAAAAGTAAACAACAGAGGAAGGAAGAAAGGAAGAACAATTATATTAACAGACACCCCAGAAAAAGAAGCCATTGAAGAAGCAGCAAAAGCAAGAGCTCTAAAAAAAAAAACCACTTCCTCGTCCTGAATTAGGAAATAAAAGAAAAGTCACGAAGCAAGTTTGTAGAAAAAAGAAAGTGAAATATGAGAGTGATAGTGAGCCTTCTTTAAGTGATAATGTAACTTACGAAGATAGTGACTTAGATATAAGTGAATCTGATAGGGAAGAAGTCTGCACCCATCGCTCTTCTGTAGAAATTGATGATTTCGTGGTAGTAAAGTTTTGTACAAAGAAAAAGATAATTAATTACGTAGGCAGAGTAGAGGAGAAAATAACGAAATTAGAGTTTAGCGTCACTTTTTTAAGAAAAAAAACCAGCATCAGACAGTTTTTTTTTTATCCTACTGTCCCTGACGTGAGCATTGTAGAGGGAAGAGATATTATTTTAAAACTACCAAAGCCACAATCTGTTGGTGGTACAGAACGATGCGAGTCACTGTTAAAATTTAATGTAGACTTATTAGGTTACGAAGTCAAATAGTCCCATTCCACCCGATAAGGTGTCCCATATCACCCGAATAATCGGGATGTATGGGACATTTGACAGTTAAGATCATTTTTGACGTTTATATTGTTGTAATGCATTTTTTAATTTCTTTTTTTGCTGCAAATCACTGAATTATGTTTACGCTTCATATAAATATAATAAAAGTAATAAAAGCATTTTTTTTTCTATATTTATATAATTTAAAGTAAAAAGTGTCCCACGCCTCCCACCATTCCCCTAGTCACGATTTCACACGTTCAGTTTGAGTGTAGAATAATTTTATAGTCTTAGCTAAAATGCCCCCTCCGAAAATTTGCCCAGTTGCCGCTCTTACAGAATAAAAAGTACAATAATTATTCAAAACGCATCACACGTTAACGATTGAAATCTTAAAAAAAAACGTTTCTGTTCTCATATAAACACAATAATTATTATTTTGAAACATAAGCATGATATCGAAAAATCCCCGATAAGATGTCATTCGTTAGTTATATTACGTTATAAATAGCGTACAAACATTAATTTCATGTTGTGTCACACACAATATCGGTTTGAGTGGCTAATCCCAAGTCTTAACTATTAAACAATCAATTTTAAGATAAATCGGTTCAACATTTAATTCAGTTTTTCCAAACAAAAATGGTCGAAGCAACTACAGAAACCACCGAAACTCAATTTTACACTCTTGAGCAAATCGCTAAGTACAATGGTAAACAAGAAGATAATACAGTGTGGATTATTATAAGAGACAATGTGTATGATGTCTCGCCGTTTTTAGAAGAGGTGAGTACCTATGTTTTATTTAAAATTAAGTAGCGTTATGAATAAATTGTAAATAGATTATGATTTTCTACGTAAATTAATTCAATCAGTGCAAAGGATATTTGAATTTCTTAAAATTTGAATATGCTATTGGGATATTCAAATAAAGTATTTTGTTAAATTACATCATTCTTGTAACTATACAGGGCGATAGCGAAAATTCAGTTTAAAGTCATACAAACAAATGGATTAAATTGTTAAAAATAAATGGTTTTGTCGAATAAAAAATTGTATATTTTACAATGGCGTAGCGTAGGAAGGGAGGGCGCCCGGGGCAACACTTCGAAGGAGGCGGTAGATTTTAGAAAAAATATTTTTTAATGAAGAATATTTAATGAACCGCACTGATGCTGAACATTCTTCTATTTATTATTACAATATGCAGTAATATGAATAATAATTTTTATCGACAACCGTCAATAAAGCCATGCATTACCATAGCGATTTGCGGAAGTAAACAAACACTTATTTATCTCACTGTAAGAATCATAAATTTTATCTGCCGCTAATATTTATCAACATGACCATGACCGTCTGACAGAAATAGTCTGTAACTGATTTGTTTTGTAATCGCTGTTATTTTTCTGTTTGTTTACTATGTCATACTAAAATGAGATGTTATAAAATTTCCTTTTTTATTATTTAAAATTATTTACGGTTGGAGATAAAATTTTATATGAACTACGTCAGCAAAGTGTCTTTGACTAACTTGCCTGTTATATACCTTGCTCGCTTCTCTCGTTTGGCTCATAATCTCAGACTAGTTCGATAAAGAATCACTTTGCTGACTTGGTACATAAATAACTAATATTTACCAAGAAAACGTGGTCTATTAAATATGTTTAATAGAAAAATATTTCATTCTCATTAAAAATTACTTAATTTTCGGTTAATGCTAGTAATTGGACTCTTATTGCAGAAATAAATCAAGTCCATTGTAAATTAAAATTCAAGTTGAAAACTAAAATTTTCTATAAATTTATTGATTTTGTTTTGTCACTTAGTATTTGTTTCTGAAAGCCTTAATTGCTCAGTTATAGGCCCCAGAAGGAAGGTCATAGTGAAAAATATTCACAATGAAATTTTTCAATTTATTTTTTTTACTATTTTATAACTTCATTTACAATAATTCCCTTGTAATATCGATCATCTCTGAAGTTGTAAAATATTCATTGTATTTCTCACTATGACCTTCCTTTAGGGGCCTATAACTAAGTAATTAAGGCTTTCATAAACAAATACCAAGAGGCAAAAAAATCAAAACATTTTAACTGAATTTCATTGCATAAAAAAGTAGGGGGGTCAAAGAAGTGTGTAACCCTTCTAAAAATCTATAGAATTAAAACAATTTTAAACGCTACCGACTACATTTTGTGGTCATTGTATTCGTACACCCCATGTATATTTTCATAAAAATGTTAGAGTAAGAACAAAAAAACACTTCTTAACTTTCTGTTTAAACACCCTGTAAGATTTTTACTATCTATTTTTATATGTATGAGCAAGTTAACTTAAATCGACTTATTTTTTTCCCCAGAAACTGTGGTTAAATTTTACTGTAAATCTTTTTGTTACACCCTGTATATATTTATTATTTATACGTATTTATAAAATAGACATTTTTTAGTCAAGTTCAATGGAAATACATCAGGTAAGTATGAAGCCAATTTGCGAGTACCACAGGGATCCAACTTGGGCCCATAGTTGTTTATTTTATTTATAAATGATCTCCCTTCTTATATACAACACTCTAAATATTTATTTTTTGCTGACGATTTTAAAATGTATCAAAGCATAAAAACCGTTAGAGACTGTGTAGCGTTACAAAAAGATAACAATGCCATTTATACGTGGAGTGAAAATAACAAGTTAAAATTTAACATTAAGAAATGCTTCATACTTACAATTTACCGTAAAAGAGACAATGTTATTATATTTGACTATAAGATGGACCAACAAATTTTAACTAGACGATCCGAAATTAAAGACCTCGGTGTAAGCTACGACAATCAATTTTTGTTTGGTTCGCATATAAATAAAATTGCTCTTAGTGCTAACCGTATATTAGGGTTCATTATTAGACAAACTCAAGTTTTTTCTAATCTAAATACTATAAAATATCTCTACTACTCACTAGTTAGGACAAAATTAGAATATGCCTCTATTATTTGGGGTCAACAACCCCAAATTTACTTGGATAAATTGGAAAAAATTCAAAACAAATTTCTTAGGTATCTTTACGACAAAAAATATCGTCGTTGGCCAGACTACAATTACATACGAACATCTATGTTACGACAAGAATTTGGAATACCCTCACTGATTAATAAACGGAAACACTTTATGATGACATTTTTATACAAAATTTTAAATAATCAAGTAAACTCAAATGAATTACTGCTACTCATACCATTTAATGTTCCTCTTAGGCGCACTAGGTCTCCCTTTGTATTCAATATATCCAATAGTACCCTAAAATCTCCTCTTTCATTTGTATTTCGACTCGCAAATAATTTTAATTCTTTGTGTAACTTTGACTGGCATGTGAGTTACAAACAGTATCAAAGAAATCATAATGAGTACCTTAATGTTTTAAGTACTTAAATATGTATGCTGTTTCTGCTGATTGTTGTGAAGCTTTGTAGTCTTGATATTCAAACCCATTCATACAAGTAAAATTGTAAAGTGTCATAATGACATATATATTGTATATTATTATGTATATTATGTATTGTACTACTCATGTAAAAAGGCCGTAAGGCCTGTTTGAGTTTTATTAATAAATAAATAAATATATATTAATTAAATTTAAGCAATACTCAAGATTCAAACTTCCTAGTTGTCCTTTTTAATACAATCGTCTTGCCAATATGAACAATGCCCCGTTTCCCTCGTATATTTTGAACTGGTATACTTAGACTAATAATGTGAAATAAAATTTCTGGTGATACTTCTTAAAATTACTTATTTATGGAGATATAATTTTAATTTTACCAAATTAGATTTGACAATAAATCTTTCAGATTAAAACAATTTAATTCATCTGAACGTATAACTCTGCACTAAATTTTCGGTATCACCTTGTATAATTACAAGAATAGTACAATGGAAAAATTAACCTTTGACGATATGTTTTGTCTCTGCAAAATATCAAGCTAGATTTAAGTTCAAAATATGATATTTTTTAAGAATTTAATTTTTTGCTTGTATTACTTTAAACCCATTTTCTGTATCACCCTGAAAAACTTACAAGAATGGTGTAATGGAAAAATACTTACTCCCTTGGCTCCCACAATAGCATGAGTTAAATTTCAAGATTTCAAGAAATTCTGTAGGTGTGAAAAATCCATTAAAGGTGTGAGATATCCTAACTCGAAATATTTTTATTGTAAACATTTTTAAAACCAAACCATCCACAATAAGTGAATATTAGGATACAAGAAATCGTTTTTATCCTTTTTGATTAAATATATGAAACGGTATCTCTAAAATCTTGCAAATTTATTAAGAAATTTTAATGTTTCAAATACTTTCTAGTTAGTTACAGTAACTATCGGTAGTTTCGGAAATTGAAGCCAGCATACATTTGCTATTTTAGTTGATTGCGATTAAAGTTAAATTAGTTTAATCCTAACATAAATGGCAACATTCTTATGCTTATTTAAGTTATATTTCAATAAATTATGTTTCATTATGTCGTCCACTAAATTACTAATAAAATTAGCTTTCAAATGAAGTGTCATACTCTACAATACATAACCGAATGTTTTTCCCGCTAGAGTGCGCTAAAATCAAAAGTACCATAATAAATTCCCATAAATTACCTTCTAAATGATGTTTCATGCTTTGTAGTTTCTCTATCTAAATGGTTAGTGTGACAGAGGGAAGGAGAATCAAGTCTGTCATTTGAGAATATGATAGAAAGATGTCTCCTTAAAATAAAAATCTACTTGCTACAAGCAATTTTTTATATTCCTTTTTATTTGAGGATATTGCTAATGGGTAGTTTTTAAATTAACACCCCGTGTAGCCGCTTTAGCGAAGGGGTCGAATCTCAGTAGCTAGGGAAACAGGACAGTTATTGATGTATGACATTAACTAGAAGTCAAAAAATAATAGTATTTTAAAAACAAAGATTGTTATTTATTGGTAAACCCATTTGTTTATAAACTCTAAAATACTTAAAACTCATTGGAGATATCAAAGTTTATTTTGTAGAAAATAATCTTGGGTTTCCCAACCGATTCTATATTTTAAGAAATGCAATTACTATTAATCGATTAAAATTTTTATGGCGTTTTGTTTACGAGTACATCGATTAAAATTCATTTAGTTTACCAATGTGAAGGTTTTGGACATGGGAAATCCCAATTCCCAATAAAATAAAAATTTAGGATTTATATTTATTTCAATAATCAATGTTTAAATATAAACAATTAGAAATAAATAAGTAACGTGATAACACACGTAACAAGAACAGAAAATGATGCTTTAGGAGGGTACATTGATATCCAGTTGGCACTCCGGCTTAAAGATACGAGGGGCGGTAGAAAAATTATATAAGAAATTTTGAAATTTTTTAGCTAGATGGTTAGAAACTACCTAATTTGTCTATATTTTATTTATACTCCTAGTCTTAAAATTTTTTGAATATTTGGTCATTATCTCGCAAGAGATAATTTGGTGTAAAATCACGTGATCGACAACATAGGGCTCTGCTAAAACATTGGGAATCGCCTTAATATGTAGCTAATATCTCAGTATAATTAATAATACAGTAGCGACAGCTTGGGTCGACTCCTTCGATGCCGGAGTGGTCAGATTTTTATTGACAGTTGACTTTTTGCCGCTTATTTCTACACTGAGAAAAGTAACTTCAAAATATCTTGTCTCTTTGTCTGTTTGAATAAAATATCACACAATAAATAAAAAACAAAACTAAGTCTAAATATAATAATAATGTATTATAATGTAAATTACAACCAATCAGATAATCAAAACAATAACGACCATTAATCCATTGACAATCAACATATGCCAGTTTGACGTATTTGCCGTTTATTTACGCGCGGAAAAATATGGACCCCTTATAAACAATGAACTGTCGTTACTGTATTATTACTTATACTGGGCTAATATTAACAACCATAAAATGATAAATACGCAGAGAGCAATAAAAAGAAAACGTCAGATGACATCAATAAAAGCACTGTGTTAGTCATGAAACTGGCTCACGATAGGATAAAGGAAAACATGCAGAGTAGGCCTAGATCCAATAATATTTTGTACTTGTTGATTATGTTCACCATGCCGTCTTTCAACAAGCAATTGTCTCTCAATTTTCTTCTAAATCCCAACTAGAATGGAAATTTTCCATAATATTAGGGAAATAGATAAAACAGACAAATCATGGATTATTATAGATAATAAAAGAAGTAGATACATATATCTCAGATGAAATCAAACAGTACGTTCACCATATATAAATGCAACTTTCTTATGATAGAGAAGAGTGAAAAAATTTAGCGCAGGCATATTTTCAACAATATTTATACCTTTCAGGAAAGAATGAGCCTACTACAGAGGCACCACCTTAGAGTTAGGTTAGATTAAAAAAAAAAGTGGTATGGTGACATCGCGTTTATACGACTTCGATGACGAACCGTGGGTGGGTCAACATTACTCATTAGTTCAAAATTAATTAAATATCTTTGCAAAGTTAAATAAATTAAACCTTATTCCCTATATATACCAAAATCTCACCTATGAAATGATTGCATTACATTTTCATTACAAATATTTTGACACACTATACATTTTCTTACCAATGTCCTTATTAAACAGTTTTATGTTTAAATTATTCTCGAAAAATCTCAAAAAAACACATAAAAGCACAATAATTTTGAACTGGCACTTAAAGCTGTCAACGAAATATCTTAGGTTACCAAACTAAGGGTTATGAACCAGAATGCTCAATATCCACATACGATATACGTGTTAAATATGGTAACTAAAATTTTAAGTGATTGGTTTGAATAAAAAACTCACATTGATGCTTTCAATTCTTTAATTTTCTATATTTAATAGATTATATTAAGGAAATGATAAATTTTTAATAAAAATTGAATGCAAGATAATTTAATGTAAGAGATCTGACAACATAGGAAGAGCGTACTGTCAGAAATATGTTGCGGACAAATTTAATGTAAACTTTGCCGAAGATAAGATGCTTTCTCTCTCTACGCAATGAAAGGTGAAAGCAGGTGGCGCTGTACGTTATTTAGTGAGAATTACGAAAAATTTAAAAGAAAATATTTGTATATTATACAGTGGGATACCACTTATGAAACAAAATAATGTTTACGTTATTTTAGAAAATTGTGAAAAATGCTCGGTTACATAAATTTTTATTTTTATAATAAAAATGTCGTCACAGATTTCAACCTCTGCCTGTGGTAGATACTACCTGGAATCTTATTTTAAATAGTATTATCGATAACTCATTTGAAAGAATGTTTCTTTATTTGACAGCAAAATAATTTTTGTCAATTTTTTAAGATTATATAGACATTTAAATATTTCAAATACTCCCCCTCTTAGAGCGGAATATTAACTAGTTCAAAATAGCGAATATTTGAAATATTTAAATCACCTAAAAAGAATAAAAAAAATAAATAGAATTTAAAACCCTTTCAAATCATGTATTAATTCGTTCCTCGTGCTTTTTAAAATATGCAAAGGTGTACTTGCCCCGGTCAGTTAAAATCTGGGATGACACTTTTATATCAAAAATGTGAGCATTTTTAAAGTTTTTTAAATAACGCCAAAAATAGTTTCCTTTCATAAGTGGTCTCCACACAAATTCTCTTGGGACCTCGGTTTAAATATTTTAGACTCCAGACACACTGTAACGAATTTTTTTTATTGATAATGTTTAATTTACCAATAAAAATTATAGAGCTAAATTTTTTTAGAAAGATACTTTAAGAATTACTTTTAAAGTAAAAATGCGTCAAAAAATAACAATTAAAGTCTATAAAAAAGAACAAAAAATTATACGGAAAGATATCGTTATTTTCTATCTTCAAAGGTGTGGTGCTTCTTTTTTCTTGACTGTACGTTGATTTCTAAATCCGGATCGAAAAAGGACCATGGTCTCTGCGACTTTCTCCGTCGCAGAAAGAAGGGTTGTCTTTCCATCAGCTGGTGCAACGGACTGTGTAACTAGTAGAATAGCATGATGTGTGCAACTAATCTGCCAGATTCTTGTTAGATTATCATAAAACTAAATGTGTTTTTCCAATTAACAACTTTATTCAGCTTACAACAATTTTACATAGTGAAAAGATACGAGTACTTTAATTTATGATTTAGCAGGTTTAATACATCTCAAAATTAGCGTCGAGTTCGCGACGGGAGAAACCGAAGACGTCTGATGTTAGCATGATTTACTTTTTCAGAGAAGGATGGAATATTGCGTTCGTAGCTGTGTATGTGTTTTAACTATACTTATGTTAGCGCAAGTAAAGCAGATTTATAAGTGTGACAAAGCTAGCATTAGTACTAAAATTTCTGGTAATTTTCCATGCAGGTGCGCAAAGTTGCACAAATATGTTTCTTCCTGGAATTAGAAAAATCGTTATATATAATATTTACTGTTGTTATGCAGGGAGCCGTCTTCAAATATTTTTAAATTCTATGATATAATGTACTGAATGAATAATAAAATATATAGAAATTATGTATACGAGGTTATTTATGTGGATTATAAATAAAGTAACTAAAGTATCTATGAGCGTATTTCTGAACAGTTAACGAAAATAAATTATTATTTGCTGTTTTAATTTGACAATTATTTACTTTCATTTTTCACGTTTAGTTTATATTTTTATTTATATTCTAATTGGTTAGACGAAGAAAAATATCAAGCATTCGGAAAATAATTTCTGATGTGGCAATGTCTAGGGTGGCTCTCCCTGCTTTCACTTTCATGGTGTATGACCAAGAACAATTTATGAGAAATAAGTAAAATAGTAGAAAACCGTATGATATATAATTGAATAATTTTCAAGCATAGTTATTCGTCTCGTACTTTGTCTCTAGTATGTGTATTTTCAGTAACAGTCTTCCTTTTGATTTAAGGTTGATGGCTGATTAGAGAAACCATGAGACGTGCTTCATAAAAATCGCAGTTAGAAATATTATTTCTGAGAAATTCAAAACTACTGCCCAGAGGATAATATTAGATGGAATTTCAAACTTCATTTATGCGCTTTATGTGTACATCCAAAACTAAAGCTGCTCACAACCATCTGGGAACAATATTAGTCTATTTAACCTGGATGGACCGATCTTTTCTCTTTTCTCCCTTATTGTAGTTTTGCTATAACTGTTTAACAATTAAGAATTCGTAGTAATGGTTATTATTTTGTTAGCACAGTCACACAAAGCGTTCCGAACAATCTACAACACATTCTATTTGTGTTCGTTTGTTTGTTGTCATTAGAAGTTAAATCAATAATATGATGCATTTTTTTGTACATTTACTATATATATACCTAATAAAATTTTTAATTTATTTCAGCATCCTGGTGGAGCAGATCTTATTATGGAATGGGCCGGAAAAGATGCAACAAAGGAATTTGACAACTTCGGACATTCTTCAGATGCTAAAAAAGACCTCAAGAGATTAAAAATTGGAGAAGTTGTAGAAGTAAGCGTACATGCTACCAAATAAATTAAAAATCTTAAAAATCAATCTATTTTAAATTCGATGGTTTTGTAAAAACTGTATTGCAGTCCTTAATTTTTTTTGTTTAATTCCTACAGGAACAACGCAAAAAGAAAACCAAGAAAACTGAACAGACAAATCAAATAGCAAAACAAAAGGCGCCAAAAGTTGTGGATGTAACAGACGGTGTTGGTAGAAGGTAAGACATTTTATTTTTTAAAGATCTGATCTAGCATGAACTGCGAAATATGTCTACAATATTGTACGTTAAAAAGATATAACGATGGTGAAAAAGAGTAAAACATTAGTAGTGATGCTTTATCACTTATACTTTATTACAGTCTGAGAGCGCCAGTGATTGAACCCGAAGAGTTAGCAAGAGAACAAAATAACGATCAAGAACTTCAAGATTTGTTAAAAACAAATAACAGCTTTTTGAAACTTCAGTTATTTACCCCTTTTAACTCTTCTCAAGGGATCTACTGTGATGTTTCCGAAGATAAAATTCGACCTTTTGCAGCCAAGAGTCTTCGAAACAAGATATTTAGTATGGGTCATAGAATGGCCCACCCTGGCGCACGGAGAACGATTAATTTAATTCGACAAAGAATCGTTTGACAAAATTTTGTTTAGCCTGTCAAGTTCAAAAGCACAATAAAAGCGTTCTTCAGAATATTGCAAATAAGCGTTTTCAACACATCCACTTAAGACATTGTGGAACCACTTCCATGTTCGTAAGGTTATAGATATTGTCTAACGATGATTGACAGGTTTTCTAGATGGTCATTTGCTGTATTATTTGCAGATATAACAGCTGAAACAGTCGCATCAGCTTTTTACTCCGATTGGGTGTGTACCTTTGGATCGCTTTGTACCATTACAACTGACCAAGGTAAACAGTTCGAGTCTAGACTACTGAGAGCACTTAACAGTTTAGTTGGAATCCAAAGGAGTCGAGGAGCTGCATATCATCCGCAGATCAATGGTCTATTAGAACGTTGGCATAAAGTTTTAAAAGCTGTGTCACAAAACGGAAAATTGGGTAGCCATTCTTCCTACGGTCTTATTAGCATTTCAAAGCTGTTTTAAGAAAGATCTGTGATGTTCCGTTGCCGAAATGGTTTTTGGTACGCCGTTGAGGAATCTAGGATAATTTTTTGTCGACAGTGCGGAAGACTATAACGAAGTTGCCTTCGCACAGAAAGTCACACATGCGAAACCTTCGTCCAGTTTCTACCTTTAATCACAGCAAAGTGTGACTGCTCTTCATAAATCCAGCCATGTGTTGTTAAGAAACGATTCAGTCCGTAAGCCCCTCCATCAACCATTTTCTGGGCCTTATAAGGTTTTAAGTCGTTCCGAAAACGTATTTAAAATCGAAGTAAATGGCGCAGGAATCAAGGTCTCCATAGACAGACTGAAACCGGCCTTTTATGCAGATCAGAGTGAACATCCACTTAAATGTAAAAACACTATATGTCCGACAACAAAACACTCAGTAAGATTTCGAAGCTATCTCTTGCCAAGCCTTTAGGTAGGGGGTACTGTGGCCGGTGGCAATGCATTTTGGGTTACCAAGGATTTAGTTTTTGTTTTTAGGAATCTGACTTTTAATTTTGTAAAAACTCAATTAGTTTTCTAAAAATGGAATAAAGAAGTTTTTGTTAATCTAATTCTTATTTTATGGTAAAACCGCCACTCGGCACAGTACAAATTTAACAAGGTGTAATAGAAACATGCATATAACAGTACGCTTTAATAGGTAGATCATAGTCCCCTAGGATTATCGATACAGCTGTTTACCTAAAAAACAGAAACAGTAACGCATACCACAAGTGAAGGATGTGTCTAATTAAGGTATAAGGCATATATTGATACCATCATGGAGAAGGTTATTAACGAAAAAAAATGGAAGCAGTTGTTGCGGTAGACCTTAACGCGAAATCAATAACCTGTGGAAATTTTCGGTCAGATCACAGTGGAGACTATCTTGTAGACTGTCCACAATAATGGAATATTTCCTACTTTTGTAAGGGCTGCTCAAAACTCATTTATAGATATTACAATCGTGACCGCAAATATATCAAGAATTGTGCAAAACTGGCTGGTGTGGAATAAAGAATAACTCGGTTACCACAGATATATATGCTTTGTAATCCAAAAATCAACCGAAAAACAATTATACTCATGGAAAAGGAAACCACTCTTAGATCAAGAGGAGTTGAGATGCTCTCTGCAACTCACATACTCAAATGCTAGCAATATGGTAGAAAGCTTTACGAACTGCATAAAAAACGCACAGAATGCAAGCCTGGAGGTACATGCAGGCACCCCAAGAATGCAACCCTACTGGTGGAACGAAATCATAAATAGAATAAGGAAAGAATGTAATGCAGCAAGAAGGAAACTGTCAAGATCTAGAACAAGAAAAAACAACGTAGTGACTACGCGATTAGAAGACGAATATACAAAGTCTAGAAAAGACTTGAAAGAGGAAATTAAAAAGCGAAAAGAGAAAGTTGGAAGAACCTTTGTGCTCAACTTGAACAAGACGTCTGGGGACAAGGCTACAAACTAGTTACTGACAGTATAGCGTGCTTTAACTTTCCGTACGAGCTGGAAAAAGATAAAAAATTAAAGAATGTTAAAAACTCTTTTTTGAGTGTATAAACCAACTATTGCTAGGCACTTTAATGTTCAGGAACTTAAGGAAGCCGAAGAAAAATTAAAAACAGGCAAGGCCGCTGGTCTAAATGGTATTTTTACGGAAGAGTTTTCGCTAAAAATTGCTGAATATATTCAATGGTATGTTGGATCTGCAAGACTTCCCTATTGCATGGAAGAGAGCAAAGGTTATCTTAATCCCGAAGGACCAATTTGTCTAGTCAATATATTGGGAAAGCTGTTTGAACAACTAATAAGAAGAAGACTTGAGGTAGAGCTGGAGGAGAAGCTATCTCTGGAGCACAATTTGGATTTAGAAGCGGTAGATCAACAGTAGATGCTATAGAATCTGTAATGAATCTGGTAAAGGGCGGAAATTTCTCGGAGTACACTTATTCTTATATAAGTGAGAAACGCATTTAACACGGCTGGTTGGAGTTTAATAATGAACAAGTTACAGGAAACAGAGATAAGTCAATATCTAATTAACATCATTGGGAGACAGAACACTGCAAGTGGATACCCAGGAGATCTAAATGACCCACGGAGTCCCAAAGGTTTCGGTCCTTGGTTCGACACTGTGAAACTTCCTGTATGATGGGATCCTCATACAAGACCAAGGTAATAGATGCAACACAGTTGCCTATGTCGATGACCTTGCCCTGATCGTTAAGGCTAACAAAAAGAGGACTTAATTCAAAAGGCTAGTTGGGCACTAATGGACTCACATGAATGAAAACACATGAACTTGAAATAAGAAAAAACCAAAAGCATTATTATCTAAGGTAAGAGAGTTAGAGAAGGGATTCAATTTAAATTAGGGAACTGTCATTACTCCAGTTAAGGCAGATAAAGCTGAAACTAGCAGCCAGAGTAGCAGCCTGTGTGATTAAATGCATACAAGTTAGATATCACAAAATAAAGCAATATTACTACTTAATTTGTCTTATTATAATAATATTAGTAATAATAACAATAATAATGATAATAATTTAGTAAGGTGATCCGTATTTGGAAAAATAAATATCAGTAAAATTTAAATACTTGGGGGTGGATTGATAATAACGGCATTTTTAATATACATATCAAGAAGATAGCAGGAAAGGCAGAGAAACAAGTGACAGCTCTATCAAGAATCTTAACTAATATGGGACGACCAAGCAGCACCAGAAGACAATTGATGTATGTGGTGGTGCAATCAACAGTTCTGTATGCGGCACCAATATAAGCTATAGTACTAAGAAAAAACAAACATAAGAATCTGGTGTTAAGAGTACAGCGAAAAATGTTACTCAGGGTAGCTGCCGCGTACAGAACGGTATCAGGAGAAACACTGCAAGCAATCACTGGGTGTATCCCTCTGGATATACTTGTAGATGAAAGAGCAAGTTAAAAGATCCGAAAGATTTAGATCAATAAATATCTGGCAGAATAGGTGGAGCAGCAATACTAACAAAGCTGTTAGGATGAGGAGGTTAATTCCAAATATCACAAATTGGTTAGACTGGAAACAAATTACTATCTGAGCCAATTTTTCACAAAACACGGCTCTTTCAGGGCTTACACCTACAGAATTGGTAAGACACCTGACAGTAATTATATATACTGTAACGACGAGGATAGGTGGAACACACATTTTTCAAATGCAACAGATGAGCAAGATACAAACAGGTAAAAAAATTATCACTAGATGCTGAAATAACCCCTGAAAATATTATATCCAAACTTATGGCCGACAAAACGAAATGGGTTAAAGTAACGAAAAAAATACCTAATAGAGATTATGAAGTATAAAGAAAAAGAGTAAAGATACAATTAAGGAAGATAATGTAAAGACTGACAGAGACGAATAAAGTAATGCTCGCAAGAGTTGTACCGGCGTATCTGTGACAAGAGGTGGTTTAAGGCAGGCTATCATCGTCGTATATTAGACCAGTCGAATTAACACTAATTTAGATGGAAAAAAATAAAATTGTTAACAGGACTTTGATAAGTGTAAATGATAGAGGGTCTTACAGTAAATAAAAAAATGCAACTGAGAGGGTTGAAGTAAAGTTTTAGAGTATTGAAAAGGGGTGAAAAATGGTAATTACGCGATTGCCGGCGAAAGCTGACGTCAAAAACAAAAATTTATATTACAAAATTTGTAGATCAAGCAAAAATCTACATCTTTTATAAAGGTCACTTTTTAACATAAGTTCTTTCATTATTTTTTTTATATTTTTCTTTCTTTCAAAACTAATTTAATTTTAATAAAATTTGGTGAAATTATATTTTAACCGTTCTTCAGGTATCAAAAACACGATTAAAAAACATGTACAAGAACAAAAATTCACAAGAGCAACAATGAATTAAAAAACTTATAGCACCATTCAATTGTGTCGAAAAAAAATAAAAAAAGCAACTTTTATTTATTTTTTGACCAGAATTCTTATTTTTGTATACAGGGTGGGACTTTAACTGGAACTAATTCGCTAGAGCCGCAGGATAAAATATTTGGATAAAACTCAGAAACAGGTCGATTGTCGAGTTTTTGTAGACTTTCCAGTCGTATTAAAAAAAAAATATCCCTTTTAGAGATGAAACCTAACTTCATTATTTTTTAAATGGAATAATACTACTTGTGGCACCTTGTTCGAAAGCTCTTTTAAGAAGAAAATTACCTATGCAATTTTTTCTCATTTTAATAAAAAAAACTTTTATAAAAATCAAAAATACAAATAGACCATAAAATGTTACGAAAATTTATTTGAGGGCATGAATCTTAAAATTTATGCAACCTTTAACCTACCTATTTGTAATTCTGATTTTTGTGTAAGGTTGGTCAGCTTTACTATTAAGGAAAACTGAGTATTCGCTATCAAATTAAAATGAGAAAAATAATGGCAATTTTCATGTTAAAAGAGTTTTTCAACAAAATGCCACAAGTAGTATCATCCCATTTAAAAAAATTAAGGTGGGTTAGGTTTCACCCATTAAAAAGAGTGAAACAATTTTTTTTTTAATATGATGAGAAAGCCCAACAAACTCAATTTAGCTTTTTATCCAAATATTTTATAATCTGGCTCTAGCGAATTAGTTCCACTTAAAGTGTGTATACAAAAATAAAAATATTAATCAAAAAATAAAAAAAATACTTTTATATTTTTCCTTACAATTGAACGGTAAAATTAGTTTTTATTTTTTTTTAAATTGTAACAATAATTAAGGAATAATTTCATTATTACTATTTTTTTTTTTTGTTTTTTATCCCTTTTTGAGCTTTTTTTTTTTTAATCGTGACTATATTTGTTTTATTTTATCAAAAACTACATGTCAGAACGAAAAAAATTAGTACCTGAAGAACTTGATACGATAATTTTTCACCGTATTTCTTCTTTAAAAAAAAAGTGTTTTTGGCCTAAAAAATTAATATCTCGAAATTTTTTGTATTTTTTATTTAAAAAATGTGTTTTCTTATTTAAGACAAAGGTATAATTTCACTAAATTTCATCAAAATTAAATTATTTTTGGAAGAAGGAAAAATAAAATTCGAAATCAAAAACAATACAAACGAACTTTTGTATTTTTATTGAAAAATTAGAGAATACAAAAGTTGTAGATTTTGCCTGATCTATAACTTTTGCATTATAAATTTTTGACGTCAACTTTTGCTGGAAATCGCGATAATATCATTTTTCATCCCTTTTCAACCACCTAAAACATTACATAAACCCCCACAGGTTGCATTTTTCTTTTATTTATTATTTACATTCATGATGAAAGTCCTATTAACAATTTTTTTTCTCGAAGTTTAATTTGATTGGACTATACATATTTCAAGCTCACAATTTATAATTGAAGACACGAGTGGATAAAAGTGTCATGTCACAAATAAATTATTTCGAGAAAAACAAATTTAAAGTTTTACAATTGCATATTGCATTATGATATATGGCTCATAATACCTTCCTATCTGATGAATAGCCGTCATTTATCAAAATTGAAAATCAGAACTATCACAAACAAAAATTATAGTACCTATATTTTAAGTATATTAAGCCATAAAAATCGTTTTTAAAAAAATGTGACATGACACCTTTATCCACTTGTGTCTTTAATTTATAGTAACAGACCGATCATACATATTATAGTTGTAGTGCCCAATAATAGTACCTTTATTTCCAGAATCTGACAGTACATGCTAGATTTGTTAGTTAACACTCATAATAAAAAAATGAATAAATGTATTTTTGTTGCAGGAGCTGCATATCCGTCATTACATGTGGTATTTTCGCCTAGTATCCCAACTAAAATGACTATTTTGATAGTTTTAAATGAATATGTAATATAAATAATTGAATGTACACCTACTAATTTATTTTAGAATAGTTATTAGAATTTTTTTATATATTTTTTATTTATGTTAATGACATTTAAAAAATTTGCGTTATTGAAAATGTAATTATTTTAGTAAAATGTTATTAAAAAAATCAAGCATTTTAGTTCATATTGTTACACTGATTTTTGGTTTCACAATTTATTCGAACTCAACTTTACAATAACTATAATTCAACTTTGACAATAACTTTACAACTGATAACATTCATGTATAACGTCTATCATAAAACCAAACTCTGACGTCAGGTCGTCGACTTATATAGCTTTCTTGACCTTCTCGAACCTTCGCGACCTGTCATCTAGAATGTTCTTGACGGGTAATGACATTTCTGGACATTTCTGGAATATTATTTTACTTGTACTTTTACTTATGACGACCGCAGCGCACTGTAGAGTGATGAGTAATATTCCACTTCTTTTTCTATCTGTACGTTTCCTATGATAGCCGCAGGATACTGCAGGGTGCTGCGTAACAATATCATAGTTGGTACAGTTGACTGACGTAATCCAGGATGCACTGACAAACAAAGAAAC